TTCCCCACTTCCAGAGATATGGCCCTGGAGATTGCTGGGGATATGTCTCTGGAAGCAGGGATCATGTTTCCTGTTGTTCCATGAGATTAATGGATGGGACAATGGAAAATGTATATTTTGCCCAGTGAAATGCATCAGTTGGGCTGGGGCATATCCTGGCACAGCCCATCTACTTCATTTGGTGATGTCTGTTTCTAGCCTCAGATGGGGGTGATTATAGCAAGGAAAAAAGCAGACTTATTGTTTACTAATATAAAATATCAAGGGTTATTAATAATTAAACTATTTCCCAGACAGACTTTCAGATACCTGCAGAGTCACTAATTAAAGGTACAGTTTTGTTTGGCTTGCATGTTGGTTTTATAATGTGAACTGCCTAATATTATCAGATGAAGTCTTTTCTCTAATGTAAGGCTAATACACTTGAATATTCATGTAACAAATACAATATGATCTTCTGCTTTATAGTGTGGCAGTACTCTAGCGTGATCACGCGAGGAAATAAAGAATGATATTACTACATGGAGTGTATATCTCCATTAGCTGTTACTCTAGTTTACCTATATTTTCTTGATAGCAGTAAAGAACTGCTTATCATTCTTCATGTGCATATGAAAACTTACCATGCCAGCTCTCATTTGATTTATTCACATGTTAAAAGGCTCCAAATTATGTAGGTCTTTGTGTTCAGTTACAAAGCGAGAGTCTGTTGTGGTGTCTGTAATGTACCTAAAAATACGAACAAGTAATATAATTAAATATGCAGGTGTGGAAGGTATATTATTAAGTACTGCATGTGCCTTATGGAAATTTGCTTCAGAATTGATGAGCTTCCACATCCCATTTCAATCTCTTTCAACTTTTTTATTTTTGAGGCACAGTTATTTATGACAGGAGTACTCAATTATTTTTTCCTGTGATTTCTCACCCCCAGCCCCCTCATCTGGTCCATTGTTTCTCTTTATCAGTTCAAATTAGATTTATAATGTCCTTGGGGAAGGGATCTTGTCTTCCTCCTTGTCAATAGGAATGACACTAACTAATTACCATACCCATCTAGCACTGTTTTCTTATGCATATGGATATATCTTGGCTATCTTGAAATGCATGATGAATGGTGGTTCATGCTCTCATAATTTGTTTGAGTTTCATAGATTCATAGATTCATAGATGTTAGGGTCGGAAGGGACCTCAATAGATCATCGAGTCCGACCCCCTGCATAGGCAGGAAA